CTAAAAGATGAAAAAGGGTGATGTTTTCATTATAGACCAAAAGAAAGGATGACACACGGCTCAAAGGGGTTGACTAGGGGATATGACACATCAGGACAGTCAATTTGGGCGTGGGCTAATCCTATGCCCCCATCATCTTAGCTAGTGACAACGTGAATGCTACACATCATGGAAGAGGGATCTATCGCACAAGAAAGAAACGAGCAGGCTCAAATATCACATGGCTACCTATATGCTCTATCTCACATTCTGATACCCTGAACTAGATGCATAAACGACTGTCAAGAACAAGTAATCAATCCAAGTCACAGTTGGCAAGCAAACAGTTGAAAAACTGAACCCCTACATAATTCTACTACACATCTCAGTCCTCATCATAGGTGTCCTAGTCAAAATCAAGTTGTCATGCATCATTCCGAAAACCATTCAATTCATCAATCAAAACACAGTGCCAATATGATCAAACAGCAGTACTTGGAGCCCTCAAATCGTAAGATTCGGACAGCGGACTAGGCTCCAAGCACACAGATATATATTCCAACCGATACAAAGCACCCCCCCACACTTAAGCACGACATTGCCCTCAATGGAGTAGAGGGAGAGATAAGGGGAACGATGTTACCGGATTGAAACACTGCTGGGGGACTGGAAGTGGACCAGTCAGCGAGAAACAGATGGGAAGATGAACAGTTCTGCACGAATCGAACACCAAGAACACACTAGCACACTGTGCGTTAGGGATAAGTGTTAGCCCAGACGGCTACAACATAAACAAACCACAAAATAAAACCAAAAACAAAAACAAAACACACTAAGTTCAAGCTCTGCACACATGGAGCAAACACCCAAAAGTCTAAAACGAAAAACAAAACACACTGAGATGGGCAACGAGTACAGCCTACTCGTCGCCAAGATTATCCAGATCGATGTCGTCCATGAAGGCGTCATCACCATCAGCACCATCATCACCATCCGTTGGGGGAGGTGGAAGTGGAGAGTCCTCCAGATGGGCTGCTCGCCCGGTAGCAGTTGCAGTAAATGTTGCTGGACCTCCTGCATGCGCCGTGAATGGCGCTTCTCCCGCTCGATGTGGGCGAGAGTCACTCCCTGCTGGATCTGGAGTATGTCCAGGCGCTCATCATAAGCAGCCATCCTGTTCTGGTACGCGGCCTGGTGTTCCGCGTACTGCTGATGGAACTGCATCTGCTGGTCGAGGATCTGCTGGTTCTGGATCCGCAGCTGCTCGAACTGGTGGGAGAAGTAATCCTGACCCGGGAAAGCAGAGCTGCCACCGCCGTACTCGTAAGTGGTTGTGCGGGGGGCAGCAGCAGCATCCACCTCCTCGAGCTCCACATCATCAGCAGCCTCCTCCTCCTGGACCTCTGGCTGGGTCTCCGCGGGGATCTGAGGTTCTGGAAACCCCTCGATCCATAGAATGCCGCGGTTCTCTCGCAGCAGGTGCATGTGACTGATTGTCGACCTGCCAAAGACGAGGGTGTCCCCCTGCTGTGTGCACCCTTGCAATGAAAGGCCGAAGTAGGTGGCCAGGCGGGTGATGAGAGGGCCGCAGTGGAGGCTCTTCAGTTCCGTAGCAGTCTTCTCGAAGGTCCTGGCCACCACCGATCCCAAGTGGAGAGGATGGTCGAACTGGCGGATCGAGGCGATGAAGTACATGGCCCTCTTGGTGATGGCGCTGGCACTATCGGACGCTGGGGTGTAAGACTTCGCCAGCAGGTGGTGGAGAAGGCGGTTGTCGAGCAGCAGGGTAGTGGCCTTCGTCCTCCCAGCCGAGAATGGACGTCTCTGGCCTGGCTGAGCCAGGCGGGTGTACAGCCTCATGAAGTCCACCTCCGACGGGTCGTTGACCTCGGTGATGTAGTCCGCACCGTCATCCAGGTCGAGGTCAAGAGCCTCGGCCTGCTCATGGTAGCTCATGGACCGGGGGGCACCGCCTAGCCTGAATTGGACGGCTGTACCGTCCTTCCAATCGGTCGTGGAATTGTGCCTGAAGGTCGTGTAGGGTGAGGATGTCATAAAAGGAGTTCTGAGTTTCTTTGAAGAGGGAAGACTGCTTAGTGGAATAAATGCCACAACTGTTACACTCATCCCAAAGATACTGAATGCTGAAACCTTTAGGGAGTTTAGACCAATATCTTGCATTAATGTTCTGTATAAAATTGTTGCAAAGATTATGGAAAAAAGGTTGAGTGAGGTGCTCCCGAGTGTTATTAGCCTGAATCAAACAGCATTTATAAAAGGGAGGCAGATTGTTGACAACATCATGCTCGCTCAGGAACTAGTAAGTGGCTACCATAGAAAACAGTTGTCTAGCAGGTGTGCTATAAAAATTGACATTACGAAAGCTTTTGACTCGGTAAGTTGGGATTATCTGTTTATGGTTATGAAGTTAATGGACTTTCCTGAACAATATATGAGTTGGATTCGCCTCTGTACATCTACTGTTAGGTTTAGTATATGTGTTAATGGAGGTTTGAAGGGGTTCTTTAGTGCCAAAAAAGGAGTGAGGCAGGGTGACCCCCTGTCACCTTACCTGTTTGCAATTGCTATGGAGGGGCTGACTGGTCTTTTGAACAGAGCTGCTAGACAAAAACTCATTCCTTTTCATCCTATGTGTAGTAAGATTTCTCTAAATCATCTCTACTTTGCAGATGATTTATTATTTTTTTACAGAGGGTTCAGCTAGGGCTGTGGTGGCTGTACAGCAGGTATTAGATCAGTTCTACTGGCAATCTGGTCTTAAGTGCAACCCTAGCAAATGTTCTGTTTTTTTTGGGGGTGAGTCAGTACAGTTTAAACAGAATGCGATTGCCCTCTCTGGATTTACTGAAGGTTCTCTTCTAGTGAGATATCTAGGGCTGCCTCTTATATCAGGAAAGCTCACAGACAGGGAGTGTGAAGTATTACTGCTGGCAATAACCAAGAAAATCCGTTCCTGGCGAGCAAGAAAGTTATCTTACGCGGGGAGACTTCAGTTGGTTTCTTCTGTTATTACATGCCTTGTTCAATACTGGTTGCAGGTGTTTGTTTTGCCAAAGAAGATCCTTAAACTGGTACATAAGCTGTGTATGGATTTCTTGTGGCATGGTAATGATACAGGCAGGGCAAAGGTGGCTTGGGATCGTTTGGCTCGGCCTAAATCTGAAGGTGGGCTTGGTTTGCGTGAGTTAAGTTCCTGGAACACAGCTTGTGCTACTCGTATGCTTTGCCTTTTAATGATGCAGTCAGTAGCTCTTTGGGTGGCCTGGATGCTTGCTTATCGTTGCAAAACTGGAGATGTATGGACAATGAAGGATAATGCCAACAGTGCTTGGGCTTGGAGACGAATCTTAAAGAAAAGATACATGGTACAACCCCTTCTTTCCAGGCAAGGAGACTGTGCTATGTGGAATGGACAGGTAATGCCTAAATTCTCTGTCAAGCTAGTTTGGAACTCCCTCCGTCCCCAGCATTGCAAAGTCGACTGGTTTAAATTGGTATGGGGGCAGTTCAGTGTGCCCCGGTTCAGTTTTATTGCCTGGATTGTCATCTTGGACGCTATTGTGACAAAGAACAAGCTCCTGAGATGGGGGAAACTCAATGAAGACTGATGTGTTCTTTGTCATAACGCTAGTGAAACAAGAGACCATCTTTTCTTGTCTTGTGACTTTGTTCAACAGGTTGTGAATGGCTTCCTCAGTACTGATCTGGTTTGTAGGGCGAATTGGGCAGAATCATTGAGTTCAGCTTGCCAGTTTGTACTGCGAGGCCAAGGGCACTTCTTTGGCGTAAAGTGGAGCATGCTGATTACTTACATCTGGCAGGAGCATTGTAGGCGTATGCATCATGAACCTGAGCGAGATTTTGGAGTTTTGCAGGACTTAATGAGAAGGGATCTTCAGTTGCTGCATATTTTATAGCTTCCTGTAGTTGCAGGTTATACATGCGGGAGGGAAGTTGATTGTTTTTGCATCTTTTCTTTCTTTTCTGATCTCTTTGCAGGGTGGTCACAATGGTAGCCCTTTTGTTGTATTGGTTTTGCGAATTACAAATTGTAATTCGGTTTACTTAATAGTAAAGGAAACTGATTCAACGAAAAAAGAAAGAATTTTCAAAACAGGAATTATTTTTGGATATACTGAATTTTGGCAATAATATTACTTTCACTTTTCACAAATCCTCGTACATTTAGAAATTATGGCTATGATAAAAATTATAATCCTTCAAAATTTATACGAAATAAAAAAAATCATGACATTCGGATTGCGGAGAACAAAGTTATGACCGTCCAAAGTTTGGCGAAATCGGAAAAAAAGCTCGTTCGGGGTAGCAAACGACGTTTTTTTGGGACGAAAGTAGGACCAAACCGCCTATAACTGTTTGTAACTTGCAAGATCTTGAAAAGTTATGCGGAATCAAAAACAATTTTGCTACGATCGGATACTTGAGCACAAGATACGTTTGTTTGAAGTTTCCACCTAGGTTAGAGTTTATCGATTTTTTTTTGGACAAACCACTCGGTTGGGCAGCGGTTTTGGACCAAACCGGCCCAACCCCATGTGGTCACCAAAACCGCCCCCACCCATGCGGTTTACAGCGGAAACCGCGCCCTCGGGTGACTGTTTTTGGGAAATTATGGTATTTTTGGAAAATTTGGGAAATGGGTGGTATTTTGAATTTTTTCCCCGTTTTAGTGGTATTTCTGGAAAAAGTCCAAAGTTTGTGTTGGATGGAAAAGTAGACGGATGCACATTTTGATAACTTTAATGATACCGATGCCCTATTCAAACTTATGTGGTATGTCTACCACAATTATCAAATTTAAGTGGTACTGAGGTATTTTAAGAAAAATGTAATTAATTATCATCAAAGGATTGCTTTCAATTTAGTGATTATATAATTTCAGTAAAAAAGGAAAATCAATAATTATAAGTACCAAGTTACCAACAGAGATAAAATATATGGAGAATTAGAGAGCAGGCAAAGGCGGTTAATCAGAGTTCTCCTCCCCTCCGATCCGTTCCTCTCTTTCCCCTGGCAGATATTTCATTCCGCAATCCCTAACCTGTAACGGCGGGCGTAACGTTTTCTTTCTCACCGTCGCTTTCCAGTTATTGAGCATATCAAGCACCAAACCTAACTACGTTGGAGAAGCAAATCCTTCATTGTATTTGTTCCAACACTCATGGAAGGTAAGTAATAGTTCTCTTCTCTTTTAATCGTTTTTTTTTTAATCTCTTGCTTTATTTTGGTTTCTCGATATTCAATTATTCATTCGCTCGAACTCGGTCTCTTTTTCGGAAAGTAAAAAAAGGGCGCAGCAATGGCGAGACCCAAGGAATCGACAGATTGAGCAACCTCCCCGATCATATTCTAGGCAGCATCCTCTCCTTCCTCAACGCCAACGACGCAGTTCGAAGCAGCATTTTGTCGAACAGGTGGAGAGCACTGTGGAAGACCGTCCCCGTTCTCGATTTCGACGGGGACTTGTTTAAAACCGAGCATAAGTTTAGCGAATGCGTGGGTAAAGTTCTGGCTCTCCGCAACCACGATTGCAATCTCCGTAGCCTTGGCTTCAATTTTGGGGATCATGCATGGGAACGGCAGCCGAATGGAGAGCTACTGTTTGGCTTCAATTTTGGGGACCATGTAAGGGACTGGCCTAATGGAGAGAAGCTGTTCAATCAAGTTATGGTATATGCAGCTTCCCATGGTCTTCAACAACTCTCGGTTCGCTGCGTCCTTGGGACCGAAGTTTCCAATGGAACCTTCAATAGTCTCGTGGGTTTGGTCTCATATTGCAATCAGTCACTTGAAACTCTGGAGTTGCTGAGATTCCATCTCACTAGTGCTGCTTACCGTTTGTGGCCCAGATTCAAGATGCTCACCACTTTGAATCTGGCATTCTGTTACCTCCATGACCCTAGTTCGGAGAACTCCGTGGATCCCTTCGCTAAATTCCCCTGCTTGAAGAATCTGAGACTGGTCTGCTGCAGTCCTCGTGCTAAAGTTGGCCCAGTGAGTTTGAAAATCTCTGGTCTCCAACTACTGAAATTGGAAATGGTGGATCTTGTATTTTTCCATGGGATTGAGGTTACTGCTCCAAAGCTGGAATCTTTTGGTTGTTGGGGCGATGTTCTGCTTCAAGAAGTTCCCAGGCTGAACATTTGTTCCATTGATCGTGCATATATTCGCGTGGCGCGATATGAGCAAACTGCCTTGCAGCCTCTAGCTAAGCAGTACATGGAGTTGTTCAGAGCTCTGTACAATACAAAGTCCCTCACCATATATTTTGATGCTATTAAGGTACGTTTCTCCTTGAGGCTATATTATTTAATAGATTAAGTAACGGTCGTTGATTAAATGTTTACATGTGAGGAGCTTGTGTTGGTGGCAGTAATATGGATTTGTTCTATCTACAGATACTCAGCGAGACTCGTGATTTGCTGGAGAGTGAGCTTTCACCCTTTATCAGATTGATGTCATTGAATGTGCTCTACTCGGAACAACCATTGAAAATACCTTCCAGAGTGATGCTTTACTTCATGGGAGGATCTTCGGATGTGGAAGTGGAAGAGAGGATTAAGTTCCATAAGGTAAAGCATTAAATTCAATTCCTCTCTGTCTAGTGAAATGAATTGAACTGAATTGGGACGAGATACGGAGAACATGAGCAGATAAACATTTGTGTAGGATTAGCAAAAATATTTCGAGATTAATCGTGCTTGTATTATGATCTTTGATGCAGGTGGCACCTCCAGCTTTCCCGTATAGTTAGAATTGTTGTCACACCTGCAGCTGTGCTATCTGGCAATCAGGAACATTTCATTGGTGCTGTATATGCTCCTTATAATGTTGAATGTCTTCACAAGTGAAATTTGAGCAGGGAGGAATGCCATATTTGATCGCCTGGTCATAGGTTCTCTTCATTACACTAAAAACGTGACCACCAGATGATGAATACCTTTACCTAGATGGCTGTCAGTTTGTGGGTAAGAACCAGGGATTAGCCAGCAGTATCGAAGAAGCCGCAGTAGTGCCGCTGAGAAGTCAAGTAGAGTATTATAGATTCTTGTGAATTGTTTTCCAAGACGTATGCATGATTCATTCATGGTTGTGGAGACGATGAATTCAGCATTACTATGGTCTCATGCATGTAACGGAGTTACCAATTCATACAAAGGAGAAAAGAGATTTGTAGATGGTTTCTTGTATTAAGCTTCCTTGTTGATGGAGATGCGTTGCAGCTGTTCATCCCCTAGAGTGAGGTGGAAGTGGAACTCCATAACCAAAGACGGAAATAAGATGAAGGCTGAAAGCACTTGTTAATAGTTGGCTAAGGATTCGTTCAGCCCCATAAGGAAATCAATTTTTTTTTTAAATATAAGGAAATCATTTCAAGATTTGACCCAACACCTTTTATAGTTTGGTTTTCACGGAAGAGGATCTTTAGGACTTTGTTATACTTGCAAGTCACTATGATTTGGACAAAATGGTTTGTTGTCTGTTGGAATGGTATACCAGATGTATTATTTTCTATTTTTCTATATTCAACAAACGGTCGACCTCTTCCACTAAAAGGTAGATCACTTTACAAAAAAGGTCTACCACTTTCATCAAGTGGTCTACCTCTTTCACCAAGCGGTCAACTGCTTTCAATAACCGATTGAGCCGATGAACCATTGCTAGTGATATAATCATAAATAATTAGAATCCAATAATAATAGATATGCTTGCTAGTAAGAGATTTAAAATTAGTACAAAAGCTGCAAGTATAGATAACAAGTTTCTCGAGTGATTGTTCTCCCTTAGATTTAGAAAATGTTTTGCATATTTATTTCTTATATTTGACTTACTCTATAGAGACTTTCATATTTCCTTCAAATTCTAAGTTTGCTTGTTTTTTATCCTATCATTGTCTTGTGACCGGTTGTCTCAAGTGTTAGACCACTTGGTGGAAGTGGTAGACCATTTTCTTTGGATAATAGTCGACCACTTGAAGGTAAGTGTGTCTTCAGGTCGACCAATTTTCGGAAGCGGTAGTCTAGTTGACTCAAGTGGTGGACCACTTGGTGGGAGTGGTACATCATTTTCTTGGAAAGTGATTGACCATTCGGTGGAAGAGGTTGACCATTTAAAGGTAAGTGTGTCATTAGGTTGACCTATTTCCGAAAGCGGTAGATCGGTTGACTCGAGTGATAGACTACGTGGTGGAAGATGTTGACCATTTTCTTTGAAAGTGGTCAACCACTTAATATAAGATGTCGACCGTTTTTCTCCAAGTTACGTAACTTGCAAGTCTTTTTTTTTTGACAAAAGGTAATCATATATTAGATCAAAAAGATAGTTACATCCTGGAGATCAGCCAGGTCTGAAAATCAAAATAACGGTTCATAGCCGGGTACAGAGAAAGGGCCTTACGAGCCACTAAATGGGCTACCCTATTGGCACGCCGACCTACAAACCGAACAGAAAACCCAGGATAGCAGGACAAATAATGCAGCACCTCCTTCAGAATAGCTCCTATCCTGCCATCCCTAACCTCCATCCGCTGGAGCTTCTCAATGACAACCTTGGCATCTCCCTCAAACCGCACATTAGAGAACCCATGCCCACTGCACCAAAGAATCGCGCTCCGCAATACCAGCAGTTCCACCACCAGAGGATCTTCAATGACGGGGATTTGGAACCCACTGGCCATGATGATGTCCCGATTCGGATCCATCAGCACCATCCCTCCTGCAGAATGTGATCCCCTCCGAACCGCCCCATCCCAACCACAGATAACCCCCGACACCTCCTCCTGGTTCGAATGATGGGCCTCCGCAGCAGTAGGGACCGTACCTGTTTTATCAACCGGGAGGCTCAGCCACTCCTCACACTGTTGCGTGACTGGCGCACCAGTGCATCCACTTTATACTGCTTACCCTCAAAGACCACCCAATTACGAGATCGCCAAATTCGCCATAGGACGGCCACCACCGCCATGAACAAAGCAGGGCACTGGATTAGAGCCATGACCTTCTTGAGAAATAAAGGAAAAGAATGACGCGGCAATCCTTCCCCTATATGCTCAAGGCCCGCAGCACCCCAAAGAGCCCTGGCTACCTGACAATCCAAAAAGAGGTGCTCCAAAGTCTCTTCGTCTTCCCAACAAACCAGGCAGCGATGATGGACCACAATCTTTCTATCCCGCAAGGCTTCTGTAGTAGGAAGGATTCGACGAAAGATTTGCCAGAGAAACACCTTTAATTTCGGCGGGATGTTAGCCTCCCAAAGGCGAATCCAGCTACGACGATCCATCCATTCCACCCCAGCCCTCCAACTTTATATTCAGCTACGTAACTTGCAAGTCACCACAGGCATACTCTAAACTTTATATTCACCCAAATTAATACATAAAATCTTATTTATAGTCATCCCAACATATGAACCTCTTTTTATGTGTGAGTCCCAAATTAGAATTGATTGAAGTTTCAATACCTATGATTAATATTACCTGATCATTTGCCATCTCTTATTCTCTAGTTAACAATCTCAAAAATTCTCATCTATATAAACTACTCAAGTTCTTTATATTTGGGTATTTTATTGTTGGTTTGAGTTTGCGATGATAATTGAGCAAGTGTTTAAGTATTATTAAATAGTTGATAAAGTGATCAAATATTGAGTTAAGCCTAATGAACTTTTTTTCTTATTTATTTATTTATTTATTTATTTATTTATTTATTTACAATTAACATGAAAAATACCCCAAATAGCCACCACTTTCTATGCGGTTGATTTTGGCTAGGAACATATGGAATTTTTACAAGAGTTGGGCCCGCTCGTTAGCCGGATGAATTAGATTAAGAGTATAAACACTAACAGTAATTATGCGAATAATTTATTTGGTAAATGAAATAACCTAAATCATTCAATAACTAAACATATAAAAAATATATACATTATAACTTATAAGTGTTACCACATCTTGATCATTCATGTACAAAAGTCCTTATCAAAAGTAAACAACACAACTCATGGAGGTAACTGATTCTTAAAAAACTTAATATTCAAAATGTATTTCAATTTACTCTTTGTTGCTAGAAGTTAATGCAATTTTCCTTTTGGATTTCTGTTTGATTTCCCGCCATAAAAAAACATCTTATCCACACAACTTCATCTTGATTAATGAAACTTCATATTCACCATCAATAGTCTCTTAGCTTCCTTTTCTCATGCATTTCATTGAAACCCATTTTAATTGTAAAATGTTATAAAATGGGAAACATCTTTTCACGATGCTAGAATTTCACCTCATATGAATAACAATATTTCAACCATTCGCTCTTTCCTGCTATCACATATATTTCTATATCAACCATCAATAATATCTTTCTTTATCTCAATAACGTCCTTATCTCCATCTCTAAATTCACTATCTCTGATATTAGCATGTTCTTCTTTCTTCTACATTTCATTGATGCAAAAATTTAATGGCAAATTTTTTTAATTATGAAAATTCCATTTTCAAGAACTTAAATTTACCCTGTAGATGTCATGAACTTTGCGCGAGATTGCACTTCTTCATTCTTCATTATCTTCAAAACTGTGTACACACTTATGGGGTTTGCGATGTTGTAATTTATGAGCTTCATATGAAAATTTAACTTCGTGCTTTGTTTGTATGAGATGAGGAGGTGAATGTTCTCTCATTTTGTCACTGTCTTTGAGTAGTTTCTAAAAAATCATTCCAAAAAGTCTAGCTCCCTCGTGATACAAAGTTAGATTGAACAAATATTGTCCATAGCTCACAACTAATCCTGAATCTATAAAATAAAAACAATTGAGATATATTATTCAGTTGAAAACTTTATATTTTAGTGGGTGCGTTCTTTTTTCTCTAATGAATGAACTTGAAGTTAAAAACAATCAAAGAGTAGAGGTAGATCATTACCTAACTACTATTGTCTTTGGTGTTGTATAATTCTTATAAAATTGTTCGGCGTAGTCGTCTTTAACTTTTCTTTGGCAAGTTACAATCAATATGGTTTTCCTAACCTATTTAAAATCTGTGGAAATGAATGAGATACAGTCCGCTAATTTGCAAGAAATTGAAGGTCCCTTAATAATAGCTCTTGAGGTTTGAGCCAGCCTTAACTAAAGGAGGTTATGCACCAAAATTCCGCCCCTTTTACTTGATTGTTTGAAGATCATACTGGAACACTATTTTGTCAATAAGATGATTCTCCAAGGTGAATATATTTTTAATGCGTAGAATCAATAAATATAGTACTTAATAATTGTATGAATTGACTTAAAAACTCAAAATAATGCTGAAGCAGTTATAACATAAAAAATAATATGATTCAACGAAAAAAATAAAAAATAAAAAGTTACTGCCAAAGCAAGTTTTGATAAGAATTATCATCATACTAATATTTGTTCAAAAACCAAGCAAGTTTTAAATCTCTCACTAATATTTGATCAAAACCAAGCAAAGTTATGAAAAAAAGAAAGAAAATGGAGTTGTCGTTTTCTACTATGTAAAGAAAACAATATATAACAAACGTAGATCTAAGGTGGTATAAGAAAGAAATTATTTAGCTACTACTTTTAAACTTTGAACTTCTAGTCTCTAGATAGAGATTGTGATCTATATTTTATCACTATAAGAGAAAATCAATACCTAAAAGAAGAATTGAAAAATAAAATAATAATTACTTAAACAATCGTTGATAATTACATTCATAAACCTCGTCAAACTTGTCAATTCTCATTAATGCGTTAAACTTTTCTATTTTGTATCTATTTTGTGAAAAACCTCAAATCCAAATTTATAATTGAAGGATATTTGATTTGTTTAGTTAATTAATTAAGAATTAGTTAATTAGCAAAGTCACATATATAAGAGTTTGCCTCAAACACTTAATCTTATAATAAAATATTTAAATAAATAAACTAAATCACATATAGACACCCACGACACAACCTTATAATAAAAAGAAAGTTATTAATATAATAATTGGTTTTATAAAAGTTTCCAACAACGTATTTTGTTCCATTAGTATAATTAATGAATGGTATTTATTGATTAAGATGACAAAAATATCCTTCCTAAATTCACTCAGAAGGCTAGAAATTTTGAATTAAACACCTTCTCATGGAGAACCTCTTTATATTAGTGTTAGGACAATATGACGCTATGAAACCATTACCATTTAGGCATTTACGGATATAGCTTTCCAGTTTCCACTATGCAATTCCCTTACGTAAGACAGATTGCCAGATTTTATGGATTTGTTTTGACTCGCTTTGACTATCGTAATAAAATCCCCATATAAAGTCCAAGTATAAACTTTAGATGTGTGCAATATAGGACAAGTATGTTTAAATATCGACCCGGGCCGGCCCATGTACCGCTACTTCGACTGTTTGAAACATTATCTAGCGAATGAGTTTTGGTGAAAACAT